GTGGTTGGTAGTAGACTCCTACCACCATGTTCTTTTATTCTTTGTTCCATTGATTTTAATCTAGAAGCTCTCAATGGGGCTGCTAAACTCATTCATCTTTATTTCTGTGCATAGATATCTATCCTTAACATATTCTACTTCCCTTTCTCTTCCTTCTGTTCTTCTTGAACAAGTTATAGCCTTCAGTCACTGAATACCAGTCATGGGAGTCATCCCACCAAGTTTCAATTACACTTATCAAGTCATAGTCACCCTCAAAGTTGGTTTGTTTCCCATACTCTGTGCATTAGTGTAAAGACATCAAAGATCAAAGACTTTATCATTCAAGCTTTCTTCTATTTTTTTTTTCTTTTGGAAGAATAGTATTGGGCTCCCTTAGAGCTGTTCTTTCCTTAAATTCTTTAGTCTTGTAGTGTACAGTAATGTGAACAGTGGAAATTAATCTGAAGAGGACTTGATATCTATGAGACTCTGCCTTAAGGCTGGGCTGGACTGGGCTAGAACATGTGGTGCTCTTTGACTACTGCTTTTGTTAGAAAGAATATACACCCTAAAACTATTGCAGATGGCAAGAGATGCATTTACGAAAAAAGCACCAGAAAAGGACTCATCATCTTGCTGTAGGATGGTTCCCATCATATTGCAGCCTGCAGAAAAAATGTCAGCCAATGCAGAAAGTGGCAGAGCAAGTGAAAATGGGCAAGAACTCCTTCCCACAGAACTTCATCTCCTCCAGGCACAGCTCCGGGCAGAAAGCCAAGGAGGAGGTGTAAAGACAAACAGTTTGGTTCAGCACAAATTTGAATTTTGATGTCAGCATGCATCTGTATTTGATCAGCAAAGATAAAGTGATATTTATGTCAGTGCACCAGGTGTGAAAAGAGTTTGCCATGAAACTAAAGGAATGCTTAGGGAAGGGAATGCAGCTGGTCGTGCTCCAATGTGCATGTTGCAGTATGCCCTGGAGAGCAACCTCCAACTGTGCATGCATGCATGCATAGCCTTCTGCCTTATAGATCTCATAAAGTGAGGAGGTCCTTCTTAAGGAGCCATCCCCCAGGAGGTGAGGCCGATGGTGGCTAGAAGAAGGGCCTTCTCAGTAATTGTTTCCTGACTCTGGAAGAGGCTTCCCCGAGAGGTGCGCCTGCCACCATCACTGCTATCATTTCAGCGTCAGGGCAAGACATTTCTCTTCTCCAGCTATTTCAACAGTTGATTTAATTATTTGAATCATTTTAATTTTGATTTTAACTTGACCCTGATTTAAGGTTTTATTTACTTTACACTATTTATTTAAAATTGCTTACTTGAAGTTTTATGTAATGATCTTATTTGGTTATGTTTTGTATTATTATGCCTGGGATTGTTCATAGCATTACTCAGAATACTATGTTGTTTAATCATTATAAGCTACTCAGGGAGCTCAACTATGAGCTATTGTGGTGGCATAAAAATAGAAATAAATAAATGCAAACAGACAATGCTGATTCAGGTTTTTTATGACCTAACATATGCCTTCGCTCCTGGAATGGTTCCTGTAGAGGCATATATATGAAAAATGCTAAGTTAAAACATAATCTATCCATCTTTTTCTAGGATAATTCCAAAGATGATTACACAAGAAGTTATGGGTTTGCTTTTAAATCACTCAATTCAAACATGTAAAGAATTTTAACACAATATTTATCATGTGCAGGCCTCCACAGACATTACTTCAAAGCTATTCTGATAGAGGGAAATGGTACTTGAAAACTAGCATGTATTCAAGGAGAAGCACCTACATAATCTGAAAAACAAATTAGACATTAGGCCCAATGCACTATTCCAGATGGTGCATCACACATCCTAAAATCTCTCCAGATGGGACACAAAGAATCCACTTCAGCAAGCAGGCAGCACCAGATAGCAACAGTAAGAAGGTCCTTAAAGAAAAGCAATTAAAACAATTGTACTGTAATGTGCTTTATTGTTTTAATATACTTTAAATTGGTTTTTTGAGTGCCATTTTGGTAAAAAAGCAGGGAATAAACCAAAAACATAAATAAAGCAAAACTACCACTAAGCAGTCAAAGGAGGTGATACAATGAATGTAACCCAATATGACTGGAAGCAGAATTCAGGACCACAGTATCTCTCCTGGCACAAAAGGCATGGATGGTCCTTTCCTTTTAAGCCACAGCTAGCAGCAAATCTTTTCAACTAAGACTTGCCAGCGTTCCCCTCAAACATCTGTAAATGAACCTTGGTCAGCATGTAGGTTCATGACCTGAGTAAGCCTCCAATTTAAGCACAGAAAACTTTTTTCATCAAATGTTAGAAAAGGGAAAAAAATACTCCACGAATTATGAATATTTATTTCTGACCTCTGCTGTTGACCTCTAATTATGATTTGGCAGGTAAAAAATCATCCTAATATGTTTTTCTGTTTCTAGAATTATTACTTTGTAGCACAACCAGTCTTTCAAAAAGTTTTTTCCTAGTAAAAACATGTTTTTTATGGATATGATTTAACTTTTGGTTGGAGAGTCTTTGCACTGATTAACAACAGAAGAAGAATGTCATTTCTTTTGTTCTTGAATGTCTCATATCCGTAGAAAACTTGGGAAGTTTGTATACAGTTTGTATTAAATTATTACATGCAAATAATTCTTGTACTTTAGTAATTGGAATATAAGGCTAGAAAGCATGAACCTAGAACTTCTTACCAAAGATTTGCAATAACATTTTATTTGAGAAATTTCTGAGTTCTACAGTTTACTTACATAATGAACAGAATGAAATTGCCTGGCACAGTCATGTGGAACTGTGAAACATAAGCGTGTAAATCTGTACCTGTGTGCATTATGCAAACTGCAGTCAGGGTGATCCCACATTGACAAAGCTAGCTAATCCCTATGCCAGTCCATAAGAAACAGCTGGCAAAGAGGCTGAAGCACCTAACTTTTATACCAGATCTACCCCATGGTATTCATTAAGCGGTGCAACTCCCTTGCCAGTGACTTAGTTTTTCCATGAAGGTTCAGAGTTGAACTCTGATACCAAACTGGCATATCCTCCCCTAAGGAGTTGCTCCATCTGTCAGACTGCTGTGGTTCTGGCAGCCATCGGCACCTTCTTCTTGCAGTCCCATTTCATCCGGCATCATACTAGCCCAGACTGAAGAACCTAATGGGATGCACCTCATCAAACTACTATTATTCATCCCTGATGCACCCCCTGGGATAAAAAGAAAAGGCTGATGCAAGAATTCCTGGTGATGTGTGATACAAGAGAGGTGCCATTTGCCTCTCTCACGCTCCTGGCCTGTCAGCACGGCCATTAGGCACACCGTTTTACTGAGAGTAATAACTCTTTCCTCCCACATGTACAAACTTCTTTAGACTGAATCCTGGCACTAAATTCTGTCCCGTGAGTATATTAAACAACCCATTCTGCTGTTTTACTCCCATTGCTTCAGCTCTCAGTCTCTTAAGTAATGGCAGTTTCTGTTTTTAACTGAAGAAAATCCAACATAAAATCCTAGATTTACATCACTCTGTGTTGGCGACACAAGCCTGGAAATGCAAAGAAAAAGACTGCCAGAGATGTTCAGTCATCCTGTGCTAAGCTTCTCTGTTTTGATGATGTTTTGCAGAAGAACGGTCCAGTTGCCTGCTAAATCTAAAGCAACCCTTAACCAAGATCTGTATTCCCTTCTATTTCAGCGCATCTTGGAAGTAAGTAGACATGGGATGGGGCAACTCTTTTGCAGTTAATGGAGCTACCCTGTCTGGACAATTTATGCAGCTGCATTTAATCATAAGCTTCAACAAACATTTCAATGGGACAGGAAGAATTGTGTACATAACCCAAGCTGCCTTACACAGACTAGAACATAGCCTGGTGTGAAGACAGAAAAAGTGTGGACCATTCCTCTTTATAGGAGAACAAGAACTGTGGAGTGGCAAGTTCATGCTTCTAAGAGCCTGCTCTCATTTGGACAGCTACTTACATTATAAAATGCATTTCTTCACACAGAGTTATTGTGTTTATTTACACTCAGTCCCATTCCCATTTTCAGGGTGAAGACAGATCTTGTAGTGCAATTGCCCCACTTCCCCACACACCATCTTAATGAAATTACAATTGGCAAGTAGGCCTCATGGCATGAAATCAATACTGCTGCACCTGATCTGAACTCTTACATTCATTAGACACACCAGTTTACTGTGCTAAATACTCCCTCTGGATAGGAGTAATTAATTTGCAAAAAATTAAGTGGCACGTTACATAATTTAAGAACATCATGTTAAGGTAGGATTGTTTCCAAGTATGCCATTGTCTGCCATTGTCTGCATTCTATTCATTTACCACTTTAAGGTGGCTACAAAGGGATCAAAACACAAAGTGGTAGACCATTGGTTTCAGAGACTGTAACTAATGATGTGATAGGAATTGATTTGGAGGTGGGAATCTGTCAGATTCCCTGAGCTCCCCTCATCAGACTCTGGTTCACTCTGCAGTGGCCCTGAGTCCAAGTTCCTGGGCAGCATGCCCATTTGGGCTGCTGCACCTGACACAGAAGCAAGTTGGTTGCACAAGATTTGCCAGGAACGGAACATCATTAAACTGCTCTTCTGCATCATGTACAGCTGCTGTTTGGGTTGCTGCACCTGATGTGGAAGACGGTTGTTGGTTGTGCTAACTTCATTGCATAAGCATTCATGGACCTCCTGTCAGCTTGGCTCACTTTGCAAGACTGGGGTGAGTGTGAGAGGAAATCTACAAATGCTAGAAGGATGGGTTCATCCCAACCTCAAAAGGAGAATAGAATAGGATTTCAAAAAAGCTACAAAAAAGCATTTGGATTGTTCCAATATATTCTATTATTAGAGCTGGAAGTTTCAAATCTTATAACCACACAGACTATGACTAACTAGAGGTACTTTCTTCTTTTGAACCTTCATAGGTTCATAATCCCATGTAAAATGAAGGTGCAAGATACTGCAATATTATCCTACCTTGTCCTTTAATTCCAAAAGGAGGTACAAAATCCCGGATCTTTGCCCACTTTCTGAAGGACTCATCTAAAAACATTGGTGCTGGCTTGGAGAACCTGAAAAAAACATAATGAGGTACAATCTTCAAAATAAAAAAGAGAAAGAAAAAACTGATGAGTAAGATTTCTACTATCTAAATGCAGATTGTAAAAACACATGGCACAGGACACTTTAGTGAATACAGGAGGAAGTCACACAAAGAGAAGACAAGGAGCAAGATGAACTTTAGCTCCGCTAATCTCAAAATTGCCCCGAAAATGGTTTCAAAAGCATCTCCTTGCCACCTGCCCCACATATGCACCTGTATCCTTAATGATAACAGTCATTCATCCTACTAGTAGCAACACAGAGACCAAAACTGTCCAATAAGCACACAGTCAAGAACATACAATATTCCTGAATACCAATGTGTACTCTAACTTCTAGTAAAGTGTAGCAGACTCTTAGGTGGCATTTGGATGCAAATAACTAGCATGCCATTAAGTTGTGTCAGGACAAGCTGCAAGCCAAGTCACAAGAAGGTTGCTGTTTCCAAATCCAACATAACCAAGAACACAAACCAAGTGCTGCAGTGCTGTGGCAAAGAGCATAAAGCTATACATCAAGAAGTCCACCATTCACCTCTCCCACAGATCCACTAGTAGCTAAACACAGCTTCAGGCTCCAATCTGCATTACATATATAGCTAGCTATTCACTTTACAGGTTTTGTGTTTGGGCATTCTTTCCATCCCATTTACACACGCGTGCTCTTCCTCCCACTAGTGCTCCCAACCCTTTCTCTTTTCTATATTTATGTAAAAGTGGAGAATAACTGAAACACTTATGAACAAATGTCTAGGAATATGTTCTAATAGGTATCAGCTAAGCTGGGCAGTGCACGGAGAGTATGATCTAATTACAAGCCCATTGCCTTCTACAATATGAACTAAACTAATTTAAATTAAAATAGGAAGTTTAGCCTTTATTAGAACAGCAGGTTCACTAAAAAATGTGAAATGCTGGAAATGACTGGAAGCCTCATGAAGTAGCCAAACTTTATTTGGTTGATGTAGGTAACACCAGCACAAATGGGTGTGATGGGCTCTAGTTTACAGGAACGTATGTGACACAAATCAATTAGTCCTCATAGTTCCACATAGTTCTTTGTTGTTGTTACAAATGTTTCAAATAATGATAAATGTGCCTGGCAAAACAGAAAAAAAAGCTCTTTCCCTGCTCTGTCTGGAAGGTCTTGACAAATTAAAGGAGAAAAATGGATTTGTGTCCTTTTCAGAAAGCACAAAAATGCAGAAAAAATGGTCTTTGTATTTAAAAAAAGTTAATTACTGTGGGACACAGGAAACGTGGGAAATCTGTCCTACCATGAAGGAAAATCATCAACAAGCTTTACATGTTAAAATGTCATATGCTAACTTAGAAAGTACAGAAGCAAGCAATTTACCATTGCAATGGCTGGTAAGAAAAGAAAAAAAGCACAGCAACTACTAATTAATGGCACATTCACAACCACCTCAGATGATACAGGCTATATAAACGGCAAACAAGAAAAACTAATTTTAAGAGTGATACCAGTTCCATGTTTTGGCTATGGTTAAAAAGGATCATTCCTATTATGTATTTAAGTATGTATGCGTGTGATTTTAATTTCACCTCTTCAAAAATATTTTTAAAAGGCTGCTTTACCTAAAAATATTTTTATGAACTCTCATCGTTATTGTTAATTAAATTAATTTCATATAGTGTTGGTACAATTAGCCAGGAGGTCTACCAATCAGAGTGATTTGGCAGTCTTAAGATCGCTAGCTTTTCAGTTCATGCTATCCATCGTGCACCACAGGAGGCAAGCCAGTGTTGCACACAGAACAGCTTGCACTGGTCTGCGGAAGCGCTGGCATTCCCAGGTCTCTCTCCGCCGCCAGTGCTGCGCCCGCTGCTGCAGGTTCAATTCTGCAGGTCCTACGTGGGGCTGGTTCTCACACTTCCACACAGGTCACTAGATCCCCACTGAGGTGGATACCTATTTATCTGCTTGCACTTCTACACACTTTCAAGCTGCTGGGTAGGCAGGAACTGGGACAAGGCAACAGGAGCTCACCCACTGCGTGGATTCAAACTGCTGGCTTTTCTTTTGGCAAGTTCAGTGGCTCAGCGGTTTGACCCACAACACCACCCCATGTCCCATTATTGTTAATAATATGTTTTTGTTCTCAGGCTGCATCTGTCTATGTCATCCATCCCCCAAGGATATTTTGGTTGCTTGTCCTAAACTTGCAACATGTATATCTGGGCACAGATAGTACCACAACTGTAATCATGCTAACAACTGCAGAATGACTAATTGAAATCAACCTAAGAACACTCTTAGAATTGGTTCTAGGCTGAATCAAGATCTTGCCTGCTTGTCTCTTCGCAGGAATAGGCCAGTTGCCATCAAGGAAGAACCACTGGCTTTTTCTTTTGTAATGTAAGCGTAAGTGTCCTGGACTCAGTTCCACTATCTAAGCAGACCAGCATTTCTCCAAGTAACTAGAATCATTCATCTTCCTTACTTTTCTGAATATTAAAAGAGAGAAAATGCCCAGCAAAGCCAGCTGTCACACAGATGCCTGGCTTCAAGGGCCAAAATACACACTGTTTTATACTGAAAACAAAGCCAATATAGTGCTTTTTTGCTATGGAAACATGCTTCTATTTACAGAGGGTCCTCCTTTATTGATGCACTGGAAAGCTGTTGGGAGCAACACATTTAAGATATTTATGAGGAGAAATAACAACTCTGACTGGATTTAATATAAGGCTCACACATTTTCAAACTAGTGCTCAAGGAAGAGGGAAGACAGAGATTTGATCAGATCTATATAACATAATGTATATTTGGTCTTATGAATGCATGAGTACCACTTCAGGTAAGATTGACTGGGTTATTTTCAAAGCTTGTTTTTTATAAGTGTGTGTGTGTGTGTGTGTGTGTGTGTGTAGATTTATGGCTACAAAGAAATGTCCTTAAGTTTCCAGTCTGACCTAAAAGCTATTTCTGCTTATATTTCATGTGAGAGCCAATCATCTCTGCCAAGTATAGAATAACTACATATTTGACTGCACCTCTGCTCTGACTGAGCTAAGAACTAGGGTAAGGACAGCTCCTGACTGTTTGCAGGTGTATGCAGCCTGGAACCCACCAGAGGTTTTGGACCATTGGCAATGCTGGCTGGGGTTGCCAGGAATTGGAGCCCAAAACATCTGGAGGGTATTGTGCTGCTTTGATTCAGCGCATCAGTTAAATATTTTAACTTGCAGCTAAGTATTGGCTAAGTATTGACAGTGTCTTGATAACATAATGGTTGTGTGACATATTGTTGCCATGCAATATTAGTATTATATATTGAAGCCATTCCAAGTAACAGATTGCTACAAAATAAAGTCAAGGATGAACAAAATAAATCTTTTTGCAGGATTTCCTGAGGCATACAAGAGAAAAAAAATCTAAGGTTTTTCCTTCAGTTATATACTTTGGAAATTTATTTAGACAGAAACAGTTTTTACATAACTGTTTTACAAAGTGCTCATGGACTGCTTATAAATGAAAAGCAGAATCTTAGACACACTTTAAACTATGTTGGCTTAAAATCAAACGTTTACCATCATTTCAGTGTCATCTTTTATAGTATTCTAAAATTGGCTGTTGAATTTCTGCTTTGGCGAATGTGTGAGGGGTGTCCATAAGTAGGCTTTTAAAGTAGGCTTGACCCAAAACAATGCAATTTCAAGGTATTTTGAAACATGGTGAAGATAAACACAATCTTAAGGAATTTCTAGCTTTCCAATTTCAAAGCTCTCAGTGGAAAGGCTAGCATAAAATGATGTGGGAGCATTCAATTTATATATATCCTTTCTTCACAGATATACTGGCATGATTGTCCACTACCCTCTCCACTTCCCCATCTCCCCCCTGCTCCCCCAAGCACACACACACACAAACTCAGGGTGAGAGCAGCTGGACAGTCAAAGCTTCACACATTTCTTCAGTACAAGCTGGCATAATTTACAATGAAAAGAGGAGGAAGGAAAGAGGAGGAAAGAGATTGCAGATTGCATCAAAGGGCTCTGCAGGCAGCGATGCCAAACTTGTGTAATGATAGTAAGAAAGCAGAAGTGTAGGATTGCCTATGAGATGGAGAAGGCAATTCTCAGCATCACGATCCACAGTTGCATGAACAACAGAACAAACAAAAAGCAGAACTACCAACTACTTAAATTTTGATGGAGTCCAGATCAGAACCAAGATGCTGGCCCCTGCAACACAGGAGGGTCATAGTTCAGTTGTAGAGTACATGCCTGGCATGTGGAAGGCCTCAAATTCAATCCCCAGCTTTTCCAGGTAGGACTGGAAAAATTCCGGCCTGAAACCCTAGCAAGCCACCACCAGTCACTGTCAACAATACTGGGTTAGAAGTCCTCAGACAGCATAAAGCAGCTTCCTATATTACAAGTTGTGAAGGCAGGGAGGGATGGGCTACCTTGGCCCTTGGCACTGCAGGACAAACAACTACCAAAGTAGGCTGCCGCCATCCCTTACATCTATGTCAGTTTCAACCAAGACTTGGCAGGACACTTGTGGGGCTTAAGGAGCAGGGGATTCAATCCACTATACAATGAAAAAACAGAAAAATAAATCTCTGCTTCCACAGCTACCTCATATGTATATATCCCCCACCTTACTACTGGCATGACCAAATCAGAACTTCTTGAGCTTCTCTAGTAGTCTGAAAGTGAAGATTTTCTAAGTTATTGCTATTCCTATCAAAGGAAACACAGACTCTTATTTGGTAGCAGAGTACTAACCTGCCCTCTTAGTTAAAAATGGCTTAATTACAGCATATGCACATATTCCACCCAACTTGTGATATGAGGCCCAACTTAGATAAAATACTAAAGTGTAATTTGGTCTTCTGTGAAGCAATGGAAACTAGTCTTGATTCATGCAATTCCTGTCCTCTTCTAGTACAACTGCAAAGACGTGATCAGAAGCCTCCACTTTTTATTTTAAACTAATC